TCTCTCTCTCTCTCTGTGTGTGGCTCCTTAGTCAAGAAGTTGATTTGAGATGTTTATGACAATTTGAAAATTAGCCAGGTTTAGATGATAATTAGAAAACATTATCACGTTTTTCTAAGAGTGATACATTTGATCAATCTGTCAATATCAGTCATACTTAAAGAGCAAGAAGAAAGTGTGTTTATGTCTGAAAAGCCCTGATGTGCTCTGTACAGGACATCCAGACGCAACACTGTCTCAAATATAATGTCCTCTACAGAGGACAGAAGTCTATGCCTGGGTTCCAGGAGGATATTATAAATTGTAAAAATACAGGAAAAAATTCATATATTTTTGAACTAATTAACTATAAATGTATTTATAAAATTTACAGGAACCACAAGCTCTTAAAGGGATAGTTCACCCAAAAATGTGTCGTCACGAGCCGCAGGGTTTAATTTGGATTTGTCTGTGCATGTTTTTTTTACTCTCATAGATTTTGTTACCATTGCCATGCATTATACGACTGATAGACTGCAACGGCTGGACGTAAAAATCATAATTTGTGTTCTACTGAAGAAACAAAGTCACCTACATTTTGGATGCCCTGGGGGTAAGCAGATACACATCACATTTTCATTTTTGGGTGAGCTATCCCTTTTAAGGCTGTCACACATTCTGATCTTTATCACCGTTCCACTCAGAAGAATCTGTAAGGCATGTTTGAACATGGCGCTAGGAAAACTTACATCCTCATCTACTGTCGGAAATGTGAAATGCATCCCTTCTGAACAAAATAAAAAACTGAACGACCTGAAGGGGGACATTAATAGCTGAGGTATACAAAGCGTTCAAACGTTTGATCAGTTTTTGCTTTGCCTGAGAATCGAACCCATGACTGTAATGCTGGAGTGGTTGAGCTCAGTAGGAGCTTCATTCCTCTCACGTCTGATTACTTTCACACATTAAGTGCAGCAACTACTGCTCTTTGACAGGTAGACCGGTGCGAGCGTCACGATTTGATAAATGACCTAGACAGAAGTTTAGGATCCTCCTTCATCCTCTCCTCCACAAGCTGTGCTCCTGCTCTTCACTTCAGGGCTTTATCTTACAGCTTTGCATTTCAGGGCAAAAACAGGAGCTGCTCTGATTTTCCATTCATCTCCTAAACTAAACTGACCGCTGGGTTAAATCAAAGGAGAATCTAGCATGTCTCAAGGGGCTCTGAGGTGTTTAGTGGGATTTGTTGCTCTACTGGGAATTTTACTGCTGAAAATCTCAGGAATTCATGGAAAAGCGACTGTTCATGTGGATGGATCTCAGAGATGGGAAAAACACGAGTCCCTGAGAGGGTGAGTCTTATGACACGCATCCAAACTAATGCTGCTTTTATTAGAATATAAGGCTGTGATATGTGGGCTTTTCTGAGTGAGACATTTGCCATTATTACAGAAGCATAGATGGTGTGATAGCTATATGAACAGTTTTACACTGAACTTCTTATACTGAAGCTTGTATAATTATCAGTGTGCAGATTACCTCTTGTTGCTTTGTCTCATAGGCTTCTTTGTGCATGTATTAATGCAGGTGATTTTGATCTTTGTGTTTTTGCAGCCCTAATGTGTGTGGATCACGTCTGCAGTCCTACTGCTGTCCGGGCTGGGAGACTCTGCCTGCAGGCAACCGCTGTGTTGTGCGTAAGTCCAGATGTTCCTCACAGTTAGCATCTGTAGGTCCATTTGAATGTGCTTTTGAATTCCATTGGCTTAAGCTTTGTTTTTTTTTATTCCAATAAGGAAATCCTAGGAAGCATGTGTAGTGAAGTAAAGCTTTGTAGAAATGAAGAAGGTGCTTCCAGTTTTTCTTCTTTTTAATATCAATTGCTTTGGTTAGGAAACTTTATTAATCCCCATAAGGGGAAACTCATTTGCCACCATTGTACACATGTACACCCGGAGCAGTGGGCAGTCATGTTGCTGTGGTGCCCGGGGAGCAGTTGGGGGTTCGGTTCTTGCTCAAGGGTCTCACCTCAGTCGTGGTATTGAGGATGGAAGAGAGCGCTGGTTATTCACTCCCCCACCTACAATCCCTGCCGGACCTGAGACTCGAACCCACAACCTTTGGGTTACAAGTCCGACTCTAACCATTAGACCACGACTGCCCCATACAATGAACACAATCAGTGATCTGCAGTGTTTACATGTCACATTTTAGTATCGGTACTTGAAACCTCAACCAAGGTGGTACTATTTAATGGCACTTTTCCACTGCATGGTACGGCTCAGTACCGGTAATAAAATGTGACGTGTAAACACTGCAGATCACTGATTGGTCAGCGAGAATCGTCATTACCAGCGTCATTGGATTAGCAACACCTGCCGCAGTATCGTTCGCACGACTTAACTTGCTTTAAAAAAAAAATAAAAATGAAATATGGAAAAAAAAAAATAAATGGCCCCTGTGTCGCGCATTTCCTTTTAAATTTTAGATATTTTTTTATTTTTTATTTAAGCGCGTTTGTGTTGCGTGTTTACAATGATGTCACAGCAGTAGAGGCAATGCAACTAGTCTATATTCCCACCCACTTTGAAGCGATACTAACTGCAGTGGAAAAGCGAAGCGAGCAGAGTAGAGCCGTGCTGTGCCGAGTTGTACCATGCAGTGGAAAAGCGCCATTAGTGTTCATATAAAACAAGTCAATAATTTTACCCTCCCTCGTAGGACAAGTCACCATTTGCTTAAAAGAGGGCAAGGTAGCAGAGAGTGAACTGTGGTTAAATTCCCCATTAATTATAAACTGCTTCGGGAAAAGAGCATTGCATATCATGGTTTAATCTCAAAATTGTTTCCATAGCCATCCTTCCATTGCCCGATGGAGGAATATATACCACTTGTACAATTACATGACAAAAACTCTCTGGGCAAATAATACAGTCGGCAGCTTACCACAAGCAGTTCAATAATCTGGTCACAAATAGTCTCTTTCACTGTAACATGGCCAGGATCACACCACTGATCATTCACATAGAGGCACAAATATGAAGGTAAAAGAGTAGCAAAACACGAGAGCTTGTTGATTTGAATGTGAGAACTTGTCATATTAGTATTCGTTGCAGATTAATAGTTACAAATGTGTAAAATAACATTCACATAAACAAGATGACAGACACAAATGTGTACAACATA